CAACACTTGGCCTGACACACTCAGCACCCCGGATAATCCGCTCTCCAAAACCCTAATCCCCGGGCAAACACACGTATGCTGCCACACAGCCCAGCTCCCAGCTCCCAGCCCAGCTCCCAGCTCCCAGCCTAGTTCCCAGCTCCCAGCCCAGCTCCCAGCTCCCAGTACACAGCTCCCAGCCCAGCTCCCAGCTCCCAGTACACAGCTCCCAGCCCAGCTCCCAGCCCAGCTCCCAGCCCACCTCTCACATCCCAGCCCACCGCCCACAGCTCCCAGCTCCCAGCCCAGCTCCCAGCTCCCAGCCCAGCTCCCAGCTCCCAGCCCAGCTCCCAGCTCCCAGCCCAGCTCCCAGCTCCCAGCCCAGCTCCCAGCTCCCAGCCCAGCTCCCAGCTCCCAGCCCAGCTCCCAGCTCCCAGCCCAGCTCCCAGCTCCCAGCCCAGCTCCCAGCTCCCAGCCCAGCTCCTAGCTCCCAGCCCCCAGCAGCATCTCCAGCCACCACTAACTGTCCCATCAGGTACCACGCCCTCAGGAAAGCATCTCGGCAGTTCAGCCTCTGGAAGAAAAGCACAAGAAAAGCACCAAAATGCTCCAAATGCTGCAGCCTCTGGCTTTTTCCCAGTAACTTTGCTCAGTGAAGCTCCCCCAGCACCAGCTCCAGGGCACATGGGTTTGCACACACAGCACCAAACCACCCCCCCAATCTTCACCCACTGCCAAAAGTGGGCACCTCAGGGTCTGTGAAGAATTGGGAGATTTTCTCATTCTCAGCTAAACCCTCAGGTCATGCCCTTCATTAGCAGGGCTTGCAAAACCCCCAAAACACCCACAAAAGCACCAGTGACCAGGCCACAAACTTATCTGGGGCTGTTTTTAAACCCCATTGCAAGAGCATGTACATGTTCAGGAAAAAAAAATAAATAAAAAAGCTTTTTCTCTTCACCTTTTGGGGTGTGAGGCTTTTGGATGGAGGGGAGTCACAGTTTAAATTTTCCTCCAGCCAATGCAAAAAGTTATCATCATTTAAAGATAAAACCCAAGAAGCTGAAGTTTTTGAATTACACTGAAAAATTAGCTAGGGGTGGAGGGGGGGGGAAAGAAATCACCAGCATTGATGCTATGATTAGATATTACAAGGGGCTCAAAGGACATTTCAAAGGGGTCCAGGCACTGCTGTGCCCCTCTGAAGGGGCATCAAAAGGATGGAAAGCTGAAAGCTCAGTGCCACCACGAGCACAGGTCCTTGTGTGCTGCAGGCTGGGGGGCTTGTCCCTGCTGGGCAGAGACAGGGCCATGGGACAGCTCTGCCAAGCAGGACAGTGCCACTGGCTGTGATGGAGGGACCACCCCACTGCTGGAGCCCCCTGGCAGGGCAAAGCCCTGGCTGCATCCCAGCACCTTCATCCAGGCAAGAATCTGGAGCCAAGCACAGCCTGGTTTCCCAAAAGCTGTCCCCAAACATGGGATAACCTCCCTCTCCTGCCCCTCGAGGTCGGTCTCCTGACCAGAGTCACTCCCAGCTCCATTTTGCTTGGCTGTGTGTTTATGTTGCCTCGTGCTCCCAACTCCACCTTTTCCAGTGACAGGAATTGTTTCCACGGGTAATTTCAGGCCTGGCCCCCTGCCAGCTTTTCAATCATCCCAGGGAACAGATCTATAATTTTCATTCACCCCCAGGGTACAAACAGAAAAGAAAGGTGCTTTCTGCATCACCCTCCCCTCCCAGCACCAGCTCCAGGGCACATGGGTTTGCACACACAGCACCAAACCACCCCCCCAATCTTCACCCACTGCCAAAAGTGGGCACCTCAGGGGCTGTGAAGAATTGGGAGATTTTCTCATTCTCAGCTAAACCCTCAGGTCATGCCCTTCATTAGCAGGGCTTGCAAAACCCCCAAAACACCCACAAAAGCACCAGTGACCAGGCCACAAACTTATCTGGGGCTGTTTTTAAACCCCATTGCAAGAGCATGTACATGTTCAGGAAAAAAAAATAAATAAAAAAGCTTTTTCTCTTCACCTTTTGGGGTGTGAGGCTTTTGGATGGAGGGGAGTCACAGTTTAAATTTTCCTCCAGCCAATGCAAAAAGTTATCATCATTTAAAGATAAAACCCAAGAAGCTGAAGTTTTTGAATTACACTGAAAAATTAGCTAGGGGTGGAGGGGGGGGGAAAGAAATCACCAGCATTGATGCTATGATTAGATATTACAAGGGGCTCAAAGGACATTTCAAAGGGGTCCAGGCACTGCTGTGCCCCTCTGAAGGGGCATCAAAAGGATGGAAAGCTGAAAGCTCAGTGCCACCACGAGCACAGGTCCTTGTGTGCTGCAGGCTGGGGGGCTTGTCCCTGCTGGGCAGAGACAGGGCCATGGGACAGCTCTGCCAAGCAGGACAGTGCCACTGGCTGTGATGGAGGGACCACCCCACTGCTGGAGCCCCCTGGCAGGGCAAAGCCCTGGCTGCATCCCAGCACCTTCATCCAGGCAAGAATCTGGAGCCAAGCACAGCCTGGTTTCCCAAAAGCTGTCCCCAAACATGGGATAACCTCCCTCTCCTGCCCCTCGAGGTCGGTCTCCTGACCAGAGTCACTCCCAGCTCCATTTTGCTTGGCTGTGTGTTTATGTTGCCTCGTGCTCCCAACTCCACCTTTTCCAGTGACAGGAATTGTTTCCACGGGTAATTTCAGGCCTGGCCCCCTGCCAGCTTTTCAATCATCCCAGGGAACAGATCTATAATTTTCATTCACCCCCAGGGTACAAACAGAAAAGAAAGGTGCTTTCTGCATCACCCTCCCCTCTCCCCAGTGTACATAATTACCTTGGCTGGCTACAGCCCAGCAGGATTAAACGCTTTAACGTGATATTATCTCCCAGCAATCTGATTACAAGGCTGCCTTTAAATGTATAATGTGTTTTTTTGTACCAACTTACACCACATGCCAGAAATCAAATAAGAAAATATCACCAGCAGCCTGCATGAAATCCCAACCCGTGGACACCCCCAAGGTTTTTAAGTTCCATGCACAGACTTTTGGCTGAAAACAGAGGGCTAAAAGCTTTGCAAACATTTCTAGTGTGTCTAAGAAGGAGGTGAAGAGCAGTGGGAGATCACCCAGCTTTTCCACTGGTGGCCATGGGAAGGAGAAACCAGCCACAGGGCTCTTGTCCTGGCTGTGGGCAGGTCCCTTCCCACTCCCTGCCTGTTCCTGCCTCGGGATGGCAGGGACAGATCTCACCTGCTGGCTGAGGCTGATGGAGAGAAAGAACCTTGGACAAAGCAGGAACACCTACCCTGAAGGAAAAAACAACACAGTAGAGCAGAGGGAAGAGAAGCAAAGGTTCAGCTTTACAGCATTAACATAAATCAGTGCAAACTCTGAATTTCCCATTTATTGGAACCAATCACAGTTAAAAGGTCAAATCCATTGCCGAACAGTAGTTTTGTATCATCATCCAGAGTGACACACAAATGAAGTACAAATGAAATCCAACAACAAAATAAAATTAAAAAATGCAAAAAGAGCCCAAGCAGGAAGCCTGGCTTGAGGGGAGTTTATTCAGGGCTCTTCCCTTTGGCTGCCCCTCCTGCAGCTCCTCCAGCAGCACCCAACGGTGGCCCCTGACACCCCCTCTCCCAGCCCTGCTCCCCCAGGGGTGCAGGCAGCCAGGAGATCCACTGATTCCAAAAAAACCTTTTTCCTGAAGACAGAAGCATCCTTGCTTGAAGGCTGCAGGAGCTGTGGTTTGCAGCCTCCTGCCAGCTCCTGCGTTCTGCTCCTCACGGGAGCGTGTCCGGGCACAGGGAGGTCGGGCAGGGCTCCCTCCTCTGCCTGGCAGGGCCTGATCCTGCCTGCTCAGGACCTGCTGTGCAGCCAAGAGATGCTTGAAAAGCAGAGGGTGAAGAGGCAGGTACACAGGCTGCACATTCCTGGCTCTTCAGGTAGGATAGTTAATGCATCCTGATGGATCCTTTCATCCTGCTGCTGCTCAGGGGGATGGGAGCTCCTGGCAGGCTCAGGGCCTGACTCAGCTCTGAGCTGCTCTGAGGGGTGAGGTGTAACCAGGTGTAACCAGGGCCACAGCTGGGAACAACCTGCCCGGGCCTCTTGGGAAGTTTGAGCCATCAGAGCCAGCAGCCATGGACCAGCACTCACTGGGTAAGGCCAGAGGTGGCCCAACGTGGAAACGTGTCCTGCTGCACCCCAGGACATCCCACCTCTCCTCTTCAAAGAGGATGTGCTGGAAAACACAGAAGTTCTTCTTTCCTGTTTCTCTTTTTCTCAGAGAAAACCTCGGGGTATTGGACACAAGGAACTGGATCAATGCCTCACTTAGGAAATTAAATTTAGGAAAAAATGACATTTCCCTCTTACAGATATCCCAAGAAAACTCATTTTTATTTGCCTGGACTGTTTGCACCCATTGAAACAAATCCCCTAAAACATTCCCAAGGACCAGCAGGATCCAGGGGACCTGTGATCCCAGGTACTGCAGGTGTTACCTTAGCCCCATCACCCTCCACCTGCCTTTTGAAAAAAGTGTCACACTTGAGACTCTGGATGGAGTTTACTCCATTCCAGTGCCTTGGTACTTCACCACAGAGCAGCTTCACCACGCAACAGTGAATTTCTAATCTTCTAAAGAACAAAACTGATCAAAACCCAGAGTGACCTGACTCAGAGGAACCAGCCCAGCATGGAAGGGAAGGACATGGTGACCTGCAGCCCAGCCAACGTGTTGTCCAACAACCCTCCTGAAGGGAAAAGAAAAACCTGGTGGTGAAAGGAAACCAGGACCCACGAGGAACCACCTGTCTTTGTGCTTTGAAAACCATCAACATGATGTTGGAGGGAGGAAAAGGTATAAAATTATAGGAAATCAACACCGAACCAGATCCAAAAAATATACATATAAAAAAGGTCTCGAGGATAACGCGTGTCCAGTTACAAACACTGCTGCAGAAATGGCTCTGAAGTCTTCTCCTGGGGAGTGGTGCATGGCCCTACCCGAGCCCAACGTCCAGGGACATCATCACCACAAATCCCAGTATGGAGGTCCAGGAAGCCAGCTTCCCATTGCCACTGCAGGGAGAAGCGGGGAGGGTGTCAGCTCCTGGAGCTGGGACTGGCTCTTTGGGTTAGGGAAGTGCTGCTTTCAGCATGGAATGGTTTGAGTTGGAAGGGACCTTAAAGATCATCTAGTCCCAACCCCCCTGCATGGGCAGGGACACCTCCCACCAGCCCAGGCTGCTCCAAGCCCCATCCAACCTGCCCTTCAACACTGCCAGGGATGGGGCAGCCACAGCTTCCCTGGGCAGCCTGGGCCAGGCTCTCACCACCCTCAAAGCAAAGAATTTATTTCTAATGTGTAACCAAATCTCCCCTCTTGCAGTTTTAATCCATTACCTCTTGTCCTATCACTCCCTGCCTTGTCCCAAGTCCCTCCCCAGCTTTCCTGGAGCCCCTTCAGGCACTCGAAAGCCACTATGAAGTCTCCCCAGAACCTTCTCTTCTCCATGGTGAACACCCCCAACTCTATCTTATCCAGACCAGAGTGCCCCGTGCTCCCCCCAAGTCTATCTGGTGGGTGATCAAGCAGGCTCTCACCTGGTCTGTGCCTCAGGGATGATATCATCCATCACCACGTAGACCATCGCTCCAGCTGCGAAGCCCAAGGCGTAGGGCAGGAGAGGCTCTGCCACCACCACGGCCAAGGCTCCCAGGACACCAGCCACGGGCTCCACCATGCCACTCAGCTGCCCGTACCTGCAACAAACCCAGACTAAAAGCCCCTGGGCACGTGGTACAAGGGGCAGCACAGCCCTCCCCACGGCTCTGCAGGTCCCCATCCCACCATCTCCCTGATGCCACCATGCCCAGGATGTTGTCACCTCCTCTGGCACAGAGCAGCTCGTGCCCAGCAGGGTCAGCCACCCGGCCATGCCAAAGCCAACCCACCTGCATCATTTTAAACAAGCAACGAAGGTGATTTGATCTGATCTAGCTGCTTCTTCCAGGAAGGGAATTAAGGCACAAGCCAATTCCTTCCCCCAGTAACTCTGCGGGGTTTGGGGACCCAGCTCATGGTCAGGGATAGATCAGAGAGGACACATGTCCCACCAGTACAGCCCAGTCCCAAAGAGGACACCTGGACAACACTCTGCTCTTCCCCCTCAATTTACTTTCCCTCTAGGACTGTTTCAACTCTCCGGACCACAGGAACTCCCTTCTCAGCAGCTGCAACCCCAGTGCAAGTCCCAGCACTGGCTGCACTTACCGAGCTGGAGGTGGGTGGGAGGAAAAGAAAACAAAGGTTTGGTGGGAGCCCCTTCCAAGCCCCCCCTGCCCCCCCAACACGTGCAGGGGCAGGAACGCGGCCCCGCGCTCCCCGAGTTGGTACCCTTGGCTTTTCCACCTCGGGGGAAAACAGAACAAAATAAAAAGTAGGTTTGAAATCCAGCCCAGAGTGAAGGGAGAGGGGAAAAAAAAAAAAAAAAAGCAAAGTTAAAGAAAAACAAATTAGAAAAAAAGAAAAAATGAAAACAATGTGTTTGGAGCAGGATCAGGGAGCTCAGCGGCTGCCGCGGGATGGGGTGACCCCTGGGATGCAGCCCCCAGGAGCTGGGGGCTTGGAGCTGAGCTGGGCTGCTGGGGAAGGAGCAGGGCACTCACTGCCCTTCCTCAGTGCTGGAAACCAGCAGCACTCCCTGCCCTTCCTCAGTGCTGGAAACCAGCAGCACTCTCTGCCCTTCCTCAGTGCTGGAAACCAGCAGCACTCCCTGCCCTTCCTCAGTGCTGGAACCCAGCAGCCCTCACTGCCCTTCCTCAGTGCTGGAAACCAGCAGCACTCCCAGCTGGAGATGTCAGGAGACCGAGCAGGGCTGGAGCAAACCCATCCCGAGGGCAGCTCCGTGATGGAGGAGGCAGACACGGGGAGGAAGGAATTCCAGAGGCACCCCCACGGGACAGGAGCTGCTGGAGGAGGGTTCTCACCTCCCCTGGCACAGAGGATCCCAGCTTACCAGAACGCCTTCCACGGGGAAAATCCAGCCCCACGCAGAGGGAGACTGACAGCCAGGCCCTCTGGGAAGTTCTGAATCCCAATCCCGAAACCAGCAGCACTCACTGCCCTTCCTCAGTGCTGGAAACCAGCAGCACTCCCAGCTGGAGATGTCAGGAGACCCAGCAGGGCTGGAGCAAACCCATCCCAAGGGCAGCTCCGTGATGGAGGAGGCAGACACGGGGAGGAAGGAATTCCAGAGGCACCCCCACGGGACAGGAGCTGCTGGAGGAGGGTTCTCACCTCCCCTGGCACAGAGGATCCCAGCTTACCAGAACGCCTTCCATGGGGAAAATCCAGCCCCACGCAGAGGGAGACTGACAGCCAGGCCCTCTGGGAAGTTCTGAATCCCAATCCCGATGGCCAAGTTCCTGCCCACACAGAAAAAGAACATACACAGAAATAAATAGATCAATAAATAGATAAATATGTTTAGGTGCAAAGCCCAGCCTGGGTAGGCTGCTGGGAGCTTGGGGAAAAAAAACAGACACTATTCCAGATCTGCCTTTTGAATGGAAGTGCAGTGGGCCCTGGGGCTCACCATGCTCATCTTTAACTGGAGCACAGCAAAATTCATCTTCAAAGAGCTCCACAGTGTTTCATCAGCTTCAGCATCAGCTCTGGGAGCAGCAGAGACCAAACAGAGGAGAAAGGGCCTGTTCAGGGAGGCCCCATAAGGTGTTTCAAACCCAGGGCTTCTCAGGAGCCACAGCACCCCTGGGCCCTGGCATTTCCAGGCTCATGGGTTCCTCCTTCCCAGGGGAATTTTTGCCAGAGGGTCCCTGACACAGCCCCTGGTCCCTCTCCCATAACCTGCTCCAGCTCTCTCCAGCACCATCCTTAACCATAACCATCCCTGCAACAGCCTTACAGCCATGGGGCTGATCAGAAGGAAAAAAGTGTATTTTAGCCATAGGATTTTGCTCTTTCTCTCTTTTTTAACCCCTCTTGCATCCCACAGAATGGCAGCACTTGGACTTCTAGAACAAGAATCAGTTGGAGGGGCAAGGAGAGAGCTGGTCTGTCCACAGGCAAAAGAGCACAGGAGGAGAGAGGCTCCAACAGGACAACAGGAAATGGTCTCAAGTTGCACCAGAGGAGATTTAGATCAGATATTAAAAGAAACTTTTTCACTGAAAGGGTCATTAAACACTGGCACAGGCTGCCCAGGGAGGTGGTTGATCACCATCCCTGGAGGTGTTTAAAAGCTGTGTGGATGTGGTGCTGAGGGATGTGGTTTAGCACTGGACTTGATAGAGTTGGGTTAATGGTTGGTAGAGTTGGGTTATGGTTGGACTCAATGATCTTAAAGGTCTTTTCCAGCCAGAACAATTCTGTGAGGAGTGTTTCCCCAGGCCCAAGAAATATAAAGCTGGACAAAGGGGTGAGGTGGGCAGACGTGGTGGACTTGAACTGCTCCAAGTTCAGCCCCGTGTCCCCAGCAGCAGCAAACATGGCTCAGAGGTGACAATGGAAGTCCCAAGCCCCAGCAGAGCTGCCAGGCTGGGACCTGCCCAGTTCACAGCTCCAAGAAGACCCCAATGCCTCTCTGCAAGGTCAGCCATTCCTCTGCCAGCAGCTGAAAGCTCCCTTTGCTGCTTTAAACACTTGTTTCCTATTAGTAAAATAAGACTGGTGAGAAAAATCTCTCCGGGTTGTTTAAACTTCTACCAGGGTTTACAGAAGAGGGGAGGGGAAGGGGGAGAGGCCGTGGGTTTCCCTAACCAGGACAGGCTATTACAATCAAAAACAT